TATATATGCATATGCATATGAAAAGAGATCCGTTTTTTCTAAGAGTAATTCTATCTAAACTTGTTTTATTCAATCATTTATATTTTACATCAAATTTTAATAATTTAACTGTTAAATTTAAAGTTCTTAATGTATAAATTAGGTCTACAAATTTTTTAAAAAAATTAAAAATTATTTAATATTTTATTTTATTAATTTAAATTAATATATGAGGAGAATCTTTTATGAATAACTCTTTAAAATTATCCCACATCCTCACTCTATTTTATTTAAATTTAATGGCTCAGTTAGTAAAAGGGTGAATAAGAACTTTTCTTGTAAAGTTAGCCATAATTGTTAGTATGACCATTAGACTTCCTTTATACTTCTATGTTTCCGCAATATTTCTAGTTCATATGGCATGTCATTTTTGAAAGAAAAAGAAAGGACAATTATATAAATATTTGCGAAAGAAACGGTGAAGTTGAACACGTGGATATTTTCCAACTTTTCCATTGGCTACCTTGACTCTCGTGCATATTAAGGATTTTTTTGTTGTAAGTACAATTTTCACCTTTTGTTTTACCCATTAACAATATATATAATTGTTCTCTGAATCACTATTTTGATTATTTATTTGATTTTATGGGACACGTAACTATATATATATATAGATATGTTTTTCTATATATTTTTTTAGATTAATTTAGGATTTAATTAAGTGAGAGAAAATTAATTTAAGGATTATATTTTAATCTTCTCATCTCTTATAATAAATTCTATCATATTTGATATGCTTCCATATATATATATAATTGATATTTTGCTCTCCGTTTTATTCTAAGATTTTTTTTAAAGTAAAAATGTTCTAGATATAACTAAATATGTAAATCTTTTATATATATTTTCATTATTTATATATAGCATCTATTGACAGGCTAATTCTTTTTAAAAGTATAAAAAAAATATTTAAAAATAGTTAAATACATGTCTTTTAAAAAATATAAAATACATATATATATATATATCAGAAAATCAAGGTCGCAAAATGTACAAACATTGTATACAAGAAAAACAGGGTGAGCAGAGAAAAACATTAAAGCATCTTGTAATTAGAGAACATAAAGTGTTTTGTTTCTTTGCGTGTTTGAATGTACACCTTTCATTTTGTTTGATGTTTCAACATTTATTTGGTTGTTTCAATTTGATTGTGACTTTATAATATTAATGTGATATTAAATTTTTTTTATTATATTTTGTCATTATTTATGTATTTTTTTTTAACATTGATAGAAATCTAAAAGATTTAAATGTATATTGAAAAGTTAATTATTATAATTAATATGTCTAATTTCATAAAATAATACCTCCACACTTATTCTTATTAAATGATTTTTAGAAATTAATTATTTTTATTACAATTTGTTTGGTGATTCAAGCATAACTATGGAATATTTATCATGACTTGAAGATTTTGCAAGAGAAAAGTCTTTTTAGAAGTATTTTAATAGAAGTTTTTTTTTTATTCGCTAAAAGAAATGCATTAAGGAGGCACTAGGGGTGCCAAATCCAAATACAAAAATATTGAGAAATAAGAAAGAAGTTACAAATAGTCTTATACTACTCCAAAGTTTTATGTTCTTATCATGAATAATACAAATTTCTGTTGTGATGTGGTATAAAATATGTCTCCCACATGACCCATTGCATGTTGATGATGACATTGACATGTCTTACTGCAATCATCAAGTAATCAATTACAGGGAAGCCCATAAAGTCTGATTCTACTAAAACTTTGGCAATCAAGTTTATGAATGAGGGATGTTTTCAATAGCATGTAAGTTATTCATGGTGAATAAGGTTGTAAGTATGGTGGGTGATGATCGATTTGTATATTTTCAAGCAAGTCAATCACATTTTATGATATATTTTTAAGAATCCTCCTTTATGGATTTAGCTTTGTTGATGTTTTAGTTCTCTTTTTATTTTGATGATTTTAATTTGGGTTTTTACTTTTTAGTTCCTTATTATAAAAAAATGAAAAATGATAACAACACATTTTTTTTTGTTACCATGTTGCAAGTATAGAATATTTATTAATTTTGCTAATAACTAATCTCTGTCTAAGAATTTGGTTAATCACCTTCAATAGAATCTCTCTTTCTAATTACATTTTTTTTTCTATATACAAGATTCAAACTTACACCTTACTTAAGGTGACCAAATCTAGTATCATTTGGATTAATGACTTATTAGTAGTAACATATTATTTGACACACTATTATTAATTAAAAATTTATTAAAAAAATCATGAGAGAGACTCATCAACTAAGAGGGAGATTAAAAAATGTAATTGTTAATAAATATTAATCAATGATAAAAGCGTAATAGTAATATTTTTCTTTAGACATTTATTCTCTATATTTACATAGTAATAATCCAAGCGCAAATATTAAATAACTAGCTTTTTTTTATCAGAGTATGAGAATAAGTGTAAAAAATAATATTCATTTGGCTTAAAAATTAACTTATGAATCACAAAATAAAGAAGACAAGTAGTTATGTAAGAATGAAAAACAGGTTTTTTCATTTAAAAAATAAGGAATTCAATTTGTTCTCGGTACTAATGAAGATTGACTCTGGTAAAAAGTTATTCTTGTGACCGGGTGAAAGGGAGAGCTCCATACTTCTAAAATGAGTAAACCATATTTTAATTTTTGAGATTATAAGCATCAACCATTTTAATTTTTAAATTTTACTTACAACATTCTAACTTTAGTTTCTAACTTTACAAAAGTTATTTATTCTAGTTTTCTACTATTATTTGATATAAAAAGGACTAAAATAATAGCATTTTATAATGTTAGTAATTGAAGTTAAGATTTTGTAAAGACAAATATATAGTTACTTTTTGGTACATAATTTTACAGTTTAAGAGTATGACATGGAGTTTTGCTTTACCAAACCAAAATTCTAAGACATGGAGTTTAAGAGTACGAGTTAAATCAACAAGGATCGTATATATAGTACAATAAAACATCTCTTCTAAATCCGTGGAGTTACGATTGGGGTACTATACACGTGGACGAAATTTTCTCCAATATTCTCTCTAATTAAATTAAGAAAACTCCAAATTCAGATTGTGATTGAAATTAAAGTTGATGGGCTTTGTCAGATTCTATAATCTAGCTAAAAAGAGTACATTGCAAGTTTACCATCCAATCAACATAGCTTTGCATAGCAAAAGCAAATCAAGAAAAAACTGAATTTAAATTTAACCTTAAAAAAGCCACAATAGAGCAAAAAATGATTGGTGTAACCCTTCTACCTAAAACAAACCGAAACTAAAAAAGAACATTTGCAGGAGGTATAAGATGGCATTACACCATTGAATGTTATTAACTTCTTCATCCACTTCCACAACTCAAAATGGTACGAATAAACTTTTCATTTATATTTGAAAACCAAATTTTATTCGATCTTACTTATCTTTTTCTTGATCATAAATTTGATTGTTTGTTTGTTATTTGCATAACATGTCTATTTCAGATTCTTCTGATCTTCCTCGGATGATGATGCTCCAACTATGCTACATGTGAAGGGATTTCTGAAAATAACTTGAGGTAGCTAGAGAAGATCACCTTCATTGAATGGTTATTATAATTGATTAGCTATGTAATTGATGCCTAATTTGATAAACAGGAAGAGAAAAAGATTGCAACAAGTTATGATCAAAAAGGGAGATGGAGAATGATATGGAGGGTGTGCATTGGTGCAACATATGCTTAAAAATGGTGAACCCAATGAATGATGCAGAGAACATGTGCCCATTTTGTGAGACAGAATTTTCTGAGGTAATGGACAACCTAAGGGACCAGAATGAGGTCATTGACTTAAGGTCAGCTTGGGTGTTCTCACTCTATGCCCCAATTTTTCTTGGTCTAATGGGTGCTTTCAGCCCTTCTCTTGCAAGAATTGCTCCACATGGAGGCAGCACCTCAAGGGGGGAGGAAGAGGTTGAGCAAGAGAGGGAGAATGAGCTTGTGCTGGGGAGAAGGAGAAGAACTTCAACCTACATGATGCACCTTTTTCGCGGTCTTCATGTGAGGATGGTGTCTGAATTTGAAAGCCTTGAGGAAACTAGGAGCATGGATAGTAGTAGTATCCTAGTGATTGATCCATTCAATGAGGGTGCATTGATTGTGAGAGGGCCTAACTTGAACCACACAAGTAGTCCAAGTGAGAGCACGGCTGTTGGAAGCTCCTTGAATGACCTTGTGGTGGGATCTGGGTTTGATATGCTGCTGCAGCATTTGGCACAGATTGGCCCTGGAGGGTATGCAAGTGTTAACCCTCCAGCGCAGAAGGCTGCAATTGAGGCAATGCCTAGTGTGACTAGTGAGGAGAAGCTGCAGTGCACAGTGTGCTTGGAGGATGTTGAGATTGGGAGTGAGGCAAAGGAGATGCCATGTAAGCATAAGTTCCATGGTGACTGCATTGTGTCATGGCTCAAGCTTCATGGTTCTTGTCCAGTTTGCAGGTTTCAGTTGCCATCTGAGGATTCTAATGTTGAAGCCAATGTGGGAATGGGAAATGGGGAACATCAGATTCAGAACAGTGAGATAGTCAGAGCTGGAGAAGAGAGACCAAGAAATGGAAGGAGGAATTGGTTTCCAGTGCTGCAGTCATTCAACAATTTCCTTCCTTCTCCTTGATCAATACTTTGTTGGGTTTTAAATTGCGGTTGTGGTTGTGGTTGAGGTTGCAATCCTTTATATTATAGGAAATTGTGGACAAATGCGATCGATGTCTTTGTGATTGCGGTTGCAGAAATTATAAAAACTTTGACTTTGTGACTGAAATTGTGGTTGCGGACTGTTTTTTAAAACCTTTTGTGGGGTATAGTCATCCTCACCCTCAGCAAGCATGAACAGCTAAATCTACATAATTGTCATGCTTCTTAAATCTTTACAAATTGTACATGTGTTTTAGATTTCCTAGTCTGCCTTTCTTGTACCATTCAAATATGTATATGTTTGTAAATATGTGCAAAAAAAGAGAGAATAAATTTTAGTTGTATTTTCTACTAAATTGAGTGCATTTTTTTTGCTTTACCAATCTAAACAGAAAATGAGCATGGTGCCAGTTCGAATTTTAGTAGTAATTCCCGGGTATATACCGTCAGATTAATTTTATAAATTACAATCACTGGTCATTTTAGGTTCTGAATTATAAAAGAACAACTTTAATTACTTGAATATTGCAAATGTTAATCGTTTCGGTCATGATGTTAAAGGTCTGTCAATTTGATCCCTTAGTAACTTTAGCATTTATCAGTCTTTTTAGCTCTTAATATAACTTTGGTTCACACCAAACAATTTGGTCTCCACTATTGTTGTATATCATTATCAGTCAATTTGGTCTCTTACTTCAAGGACTAAATTGACTTAAAATTGTCAAAATCAAGAACTAAATCAACCATGGTGTGAATCATTAGGATCGACTTAATGGTAGGAGTTGGAATAATATATAATTATACAATGATCTTAAGTTCAAACTTTTTTACTGTCTTTGTAATTTCTATTCATGAAAAAAATAATGATGCTGTCAATTTGAGATATTAGATTGGATGTTACAAAATTTAGGCACTAAATTTGCTTTCTGTAATATCAAAAACTGAATTGAGTAATTCTCAACAATTTCGGGACTAGTTCAGTATATTATTCTTTATTTGTAACATGAGAGGTCATCTTCAATTAAATCATAAAGAGAGCAAAAGCTGTTATATGAAAACTTGAACTAGTAAGAGAGTAAAAACAAACCTAAAACTAAAACGTGCAAAACACAAAACAAGGGATTAGTCCTAATATTCTCGTGTCTTCAGTTAACATCCAATATCTTGATCACAGTAGCAGACTCAACTCGGTGCAGTGCTACAACAGAGTCTCCAAGCTTGCAAAGCTCAGTTTTCTTTGCATATGCAAGAGCAAACTCTATGGTTTCTTCTGTTGACTCACTCTGTGAAGCTCCACAAGAACCTGTGCCCAAAACAGGTATTAGACCTCTGTAGATAAGGCTATGCCTTGCTGGGGTTTCCTCACTGCAGAACCATTGAAAGGAATCTGTTGTTATCTCAGGAACTACCACAGACAGAATAGGCATGCTGGGTCTATACTTTGCCACAAGTTTTGAAGTGGTTCCACCTCTAGTTAGCACTAGGATGAGAGCAGCATTGATACAATTTGCAGTCCTAACTGCAGCTGAAGCCATGCTCTCCAAAGGACTCATTGGAGTTGGAGATGTTTCCATTATTCTCTTGAATAGATCACCATAGTCTATGAAACTCTCTGCCTCGGAACAAATTCTAGCCATGGTTTGGACAGCAATGTCTGGATAGGCTCCTGCAGCAGTTTCCCCACTAAGCATAACACAGTCTGTGCCATCAAGAACTGCATTGGCAACATCGGTGGCCTCGGCTCGCGTCGGCCGAGGAGATTTGATCATGGACTCTAACATCTGGGTGGCTGTCACCACAGGCTTGCCTTGTATGTTTGACTTGTGTATCATAACTTTCTGAGCAAGAAAGATCTTCTCAATCGGAATTTCCATTCCCAGGTCACCTCTTGCCACCATGAATGCATCTGAATTTGCCAGTATTTCATCAAAATTGGCAATGCCCTCTTGATTTTCAACCTAACAAAAACAAGAAGACAACAAATAAGCACAACATGAGACTATGGGAGATTAATCAACTTATTGTGTATAGGAAACTTTGTTTCTTATTTTTAAAACTATTGTTTTTATCCATAGACATATTCAACATAGTGTTTTAAAACTGAAAATCAAACATTATTTCTGGTTTAACTTTATTTCTGGTTTTCTTGAACCAAAAAAGATTGATAATTTTAATAGGAGATTTGACAATAAGAAAGGATGGATACCTTGGACATGAGAAGTATGCTTTTTGCATGCTTTCCAAGTAGATTCCTGACCTCCACCAGGTCTGAACCTTTTCTAACAAAAGAGAGAGCAATGATGTCAATCTTGTTAGGAACCCCCCACTGCAGAATGTCCTCCTTGTCCTTCTCTGTCAAGGTTGGAAGATCAACAATCACTCCAGGAAGGTTAACATTCTTCCTCTCCCCCAGAACTGCAGAATTTTCGCACCGACATCGAACCAAGCCATTCTCCTTGTCACATTCCATGACAGTAAAACTGATTGTCCCATCAGCACACAGAACATTGCTCCCTGGACTCAAATGGTGTGCCAACTTCTTGTAGCTCATACTGATCATGCTCTCATCACCCTTTATGCTGTAATCAGTTGTGACTGTGATCTCTTGACCTCTATGGATTTGTATGGGCTTTCCTTCTTTCAAGAACCCAGTTCGGATCTCTGGACCCTGCCATGTTTCCAACACACACCACATATGTCACGTAATCAATCATTCTCAAATAAAGAACATTAACAAGAAAAAGAATTTGAATAAACAATGCAACATCATGTAGAAAGGGACAAAACTTAGATATAATTAGTATTATTCTCCGGTTAGAATCAAAGTTTTACCTCTTAAATATACATTTATATTTAATGCAGATTCATGATATAAAATTTTAACTTTGATTTGAGAAAAACGACAAAAATTTACTAAAGTCGATTTACTGATAGAGATTGAAATAGTATATGTTGAGTCCTACTTTCGAAACATGTCACTATGGTTGTAATTCTAAAGGATAAAAACAAAACCATATAATAGTAATACCGAAAGAACTGTATCTAGATTTTGTCGAAAAGAAAAACATACAAAAGTTGTAAAGTTCCAAACCTTGGTATCCAACATGACAGCACATAGAATGCCAGTGTTGCTCATTGCAGTTCTGAGATTATCAAGGGTCTCTTGGTGGTAAGAGTGAGAACCATGAGAGAAGTTGAAGCGAGCCACGTTCATCCCTGCCTTGAGAAGCTTCTCTAGCATCTCCACTGACCTACTTGATGGTCCCAAAGTGCACACAATCTTGGTTTTGGGCTTCACACTCTCTCTCCCCATTGTTCCACCCACTACCAGCACCTTTTCCATTCCTCCCTTAGATATCAAAGTCTTGTGCTCTCCCTGCAATGTATGAAATTAAAACAAGGAAGAACTTTATAATTTATATTAATAAAAATTAAAAGGGGTTAATCAAAGAACAATTTTTTGACACACAAGGAATATATAGGTACATGGCAGGGTCAAGATGCTGCAAAACTTCTTTGACAAATTAGCTTTGGCTTGAAATCCAAGCAATTTTGTCCATGCAATTTATGTGCTTTCGTTAGACAAATGATTATGGACGATCAACTTTTGATGGTTGAAACTTTGAAATAGAATATGCTATTCCGAAAGTACACATGTGACGAATAAATAAATAACTCGAATATAATTAATATACCATGTAAGTTGCTTCCCGAAGAATGTTCATACTCAAAGCAAGAACCCACTAATTTAGTTCACTTGATCGAGAACGTTGCGCAAATTATTATAAATCCTTGATCCTAAGTTTGATTCCAATGAATAAAAAAAGAACTCAATTTGCAGGAGTGAATTGGAGTAAAACGTGAGACGATCCCTTATATATAAGCATTGGATAAATCTTCTAGCCATGCATCTCGTAGAAAGATGATAATGCAATATAATTTTGATTACTAATTAGATTACGATTTATCGAATTAAAGAAAAAAGATTACAATTAATTAAATCGTTATAAGATTGTTACCTGATCTTTATTTAATCTATATATCTATAAATGACAACGGATAATGAGTTTTAAGTTTTAACTACGCGCCGCTAAAAAAAAAAGGTTTTAATTTCCGCCTATGTATTTCAAAGCTAAGCGAAGTCCCCGCTTCTGTTTTTTATTTACAATTTTGTAATCCTTTCTCACACTATTATTTAATTTTAATTTTTAAATTTGAATTTTGAATCCTTGTATACATTGGAAATGAAATGTCTTTCTTTTCTCTAGATAATCGAATTTTAATGTTATCGTAAGCATAATACATCCTAATTAAAATTTTACACACCATAACAATAAAGATTGTTACCCTTTGTGGAAAAAATAAAATTAGACTATCAACTATAAAAAAAAAATTAAAAATTTTAAAATAACTATTGTATCGTCCAATTTGACTATGTGAAGTTGACCTTCTCTTACTCGTTTATATTGAGTCTCTAGTTCATCATCATAAAGTGAAATCTTATATAGTTAATTCCTAATGGGTAACAGAATATCTTGACATAAATATCTTTTAGAATTTCGTAATTAGATACATTATATTTAGTTAAGGGAATATTTTCACTTATTGAAAACAATTAATCAATAACAATATTTCTACACAATCACTAAAATATATCTTTAGAATATCATATAACATTATCTCTAAACTTAGATAATATCAATCACCTATATATGGACATTATGTATCATTCTTCCCTAATTTTAGAATAAAATAAAATCAAGTTTTTTTATTTCAAATATTTTTAGAACAAAATATATATTAAAGTTGTCAAAATGGGTTATAGTCCGTGGGCCAACCCGACCCACCTTAAAAACGAGCCGAATTAGACCAAAAAAATGAAAATTTTCATAATAGGTCAAAAAATGTAACTCAACCCACCTAGGTTAAACCCGTGGTGAGTTGGTCTGTCTGCCTAACCCACTTACACTCCCATTAACCTAAGTCACTAACAACCCACTTAACCATTTATTATTATATATTATTATTTTAATAAGATACCATTTTTTATAGATAAAGATAAAGTTGATCTTAAATAACATGAGATTGCTATAAATTTATCTACTCAAGCCTTCAATGAAGTTTAATATTGATGAATAATCACTCTCATGAAAGGATTTTTATTTTTTTGTTTTGATTATTTAAAGTTGTACACTTTTTAAGTTAAGTTTAATGTTGTATGCATGATACTTAGTTTAACAATTTTTACTTAAATTAGAGATTATTTTAAATTAATTTTTTTAAAAAAATTAGGTGGGTTAGTGGGCAACCTGTTTAGCCCACCAACTCGTGGCTGGTTAGGTCGGATTAAAAAATTTTGGACATTAAAGTTGGTGGGTCTAGCTATATCAATCCACATAAAAAGTAAGTTGAGGTTGGCCGAGCCAAACGAGCGGATTGACCTATTTTCATAGTTCTAGTAAATTAGGGTTTAAGTTATTAATTATATTATAATTAGAATAATATATAAAATTTAATAAATAAGAAAGAACTTGAAATATTATTATTTAACTTGTATTTTTAGTTTAATGTATAATTTTAAATTTGTTACTTTATTATTGTTTTAATTTCAACTATTTAACTACTAACATAATTAGTTTATATTTTAATAATTATAAAAATGAAAATATAAAAAATAAAATCTTACTTTAATTTATACATATTAATTTCAACATACACACATATATATTAATTAAATATATATTTGCTGTAATAAAAAAAATACAGAACTGAGTAAGGGAGTTACCCTCGACCCTAATTTTCTAAGTCAAGGAAACCCGCACTTGAATTTGAACACGATCAAAACAAGATACAAAGAGACACTTAAACTCATTTACAAGTCATGAATATTATGCCTTTTAAACAAAAGTGAAAACTACTGATAAATACATAATACTGTTTGTGGTGGAATTCGTTTTATGAGTTCTTTGTTTTTGAACTAGCACGAAACCGTTTCAATTTAGGTATTTTATAGTGAAGTTGTTACTCGTTTAAGAATGGAAATATGAGACAGAGTTAATTAATAAATGTTTGTCCAGATTTTCATGAAGGATGATTAAACAATAATTTGCATGCATATAGATACTCAATTGAACAGAATGAACAACAAATACATTTGCAATACAAATCATTGTCTAATCATAGTGATCACGTTACACTTTTAGAATTAACAACCTACGAACTACGGAATTAAAAGACTACACTAACACTAGTAAAAGAAAGAAAAAGTGGCCAAGAAATGGTCATACCCAGCAATTTCATGCATGAAAGCCATATACGCAGGCGGTGAGTGCTTGAGAGTTCAAGTATGAAATTTCCGACCTTCGTGAAGGGATATGCCTCTCCTATTTATAGAGACCCTCGAGAGCAGTTATTTTTGTGTAAATGCGTTGTGGGCGCATAATCGTTGTCCACTACTTCCATTACGTGGGCTGAAAATATAACTCCTCGTAACCGTTCGCCCACGTCTTTATTCCTTCGACCAGGTAACTACCTAACTTGCTCAAAACCTCCCGTAACTACCTTTCACATCTTTTGATCCACCCTCGAATAGGCTCGCTCACTGTCCCTTGATATTCCTTTTGGAAATACTTCCAATCTTTTCGACTTCGAGTGATTTCACACAATACGTTTCTCGAGTGATCCTAACAAATACCCAACACTGTCATCCCCTCGGCACAACATGGAAAGCAACCCGAAAGTTGTCTCCCAAATAAAGTTGCCCATCCAACCGCATGATATCCTTTTACCGGCCGAGAATTGTCGGTAGAAAATCTTCGATCCAAAGTTTTAGATCTTCCTTCATCAGTTCTCAAAATTGCCAATGGTGATTGTACATGTAAAACAAATATTGATGTGAAAGTTAACAAGTAATTGAAGTATTACGAGTGATATGTAAAGTCACATATCTTTTATATATATATATATATAAATGAAAGAATGTTACTATTAAAATTTTGATCATTTGAATAGATTTGAGACTTTATTATTGTGCAACGATAATTTCTATCATGATTTAGGAGAATGTCCAATTAGGCTGAGAACTTTTCAACCAGAACGAATATTATTAGTCAAGAAATTATTGATTCACTCGCTGCCGTAAGAGTCAAAATTTCAGAAGAAGATCACATAGATGTGATTCTTGATGGTTTGCCTGAAGATTTCGATAGTTTTGTGACCTCCATAACATCTCGAATTGATCCATACACAGTAGATGAGATCGAGGCTCTGCTTCTTGCACAAGAAGAGAGGTTTGACAAGAGAAAACGCAATGAGATAAGTCTTGTTCATGCTAACACTGCCTCAGTACCTGCTCAATGGAAAAACAATGACACCAATTCTGGTATAGGCAACAATAACTACCGAGGTGGTTTTTCTGGAGGCAGGTTCAATCAAAGAGGTGGACAACGAAACGGTCGTGGTAGAAACAATGGTGGCAGAGGCAGTGGAAGGACAAACTGGAATCAGAATAATCACAATACTTGGCATCAGGTAAAAATTTCTTGCCAAATTTGTGGGAAAAATGGCCATACTGCTCTTGATTGCTGGAACAGGTATAATCAGGAGTATCAACCTCAACCACAGGTCCATACCTCTCAAATGTATCATCACAACAATGCTTCAGGTGATGCTACAATGCTGGCCACACCGTCTACAGTAGTGGATCCTCTTTGGTATCCAGATTCAGGTGCTTCTCACCACATCACACATGATGATTCCACCCTGTCGACCAAAAATACTTACACTGGTTCAGACAAAGTTAATATTGGTAATGGTACAGGCTTAAATATACATCATGTTGGTCATTCATATTTGCACTGTCCTAAATTCTCTAAAGTTGTCATTCTTAATAATCTTCTTCATGTCCCTTCCATAACAAAAAATTTACTTAGTGTGTCACAATTTGCTCGGGATAATCATGTCTTTTTTGAATTTTATCCTGATTTTTGTACTGTTAAAACTCAGGGTACCCGGGAAACAGTTCTTCAAGGGCAACTTAGAGGTGGTTTATATGTTTTCCCACCCATGCACAAGGTTCAGCCTGCTTTAGCTTTTTCTGCTGAGAAGAGTTCATCTCACTCCCGCTTTACTCTTTGGCACTCAAGACTGGGTCATCCCTCTCCTAAAATTCTTAAAGTAGCTTTAAGAAATAGTCATATTCCTTGTAATAATTTTCCAGATTCTGTATTGTGTGAGTCATGTTGCATGGGTAAAGCTCATCAACTTCCTTTTATAAATTCAAATTCAGAATATCATACTCCTCTTCAGTTAGTTTTCTCAGACATATCAAGCTGCAAGGGAAAAAGATCAGTTCCCTTGAAGAGAGTGTCGCCAAGGGCAAAGCTGACCTTAAGTGGGTTGCCAATGAGAGGGACAAGTTGTTGGAAAGCCGACGAGCCTTCGAAGACGATCGGAAAGCTTGGGAGGCCGAGAAGTCAGTTATGGAGAAGGATCTCGAAGAGGCTCGTCTGGCACGAGACAAGAACGCTGATGCCGCTCAAATCTTCGAGAACGAATTGAATCTAGCAAAAGCAGAGA